TGGATGATCTCCTGAGGTCCCTTCCAACCCCTGCGATTCTGTGTAATGTGACCAGAACAGAGTGAACTGGTACTGATTTTAACCTAATGCAGAAGTGAAAGCTTCTGAACACGTAATATCTGCCTGAAACCTTCCGAGTGCATGAAGTTGGGGTAACCACTGACTTCTCTTCTGGGGTTGTAAAAGTACCATTTTGGGTGTGTGGTTTTTGTTGGGTTTTCTACTCTACTATTTTTTAAGGAATTGTTTTTGTAAACTCTCTGTGCCTGAGTATGTGCCTCAGACATTTGAGTTTATACATGTTTTTGCAAGGTACATCCATACATTTTATTACTAGTAGCAAAAATGGCAGTGTCTCTTCAGCTACTTCTGCCTGTCTCAACTAGAAACAGCTTCTTGCTGTATACAGAGTTTTTAAAAAAACTTTTGACATATGTTAGCTTTTTAAATAGTTTGGGGTTTTTTTTCCGCCTGGGAGAAAAGCATATCTCAGGAAACATTCTGTTCACAAACACTTCACTTTACAAACATAGGGGGACAGGGATGCAGCTGCTGCTTTGTTTTCTGGACAAGTTAGTCTACACCACAGCCAACAGGCACACCCTTTCCCTTGCCAGTGCCTTGTAGAAAGCTGAGTGCATAAGTAAGAAATCTGTTCTTCAAAACTTTTGTGCTGGTGGAACCAAACTAGAATACTTTTCTGATCTGTTGTAGCATGGAAGAGTTGGTGGTAAGGGGGAGGAACTTCTCCTGGGCAGTCTCACTCTTCAGCCCACCCTGTTCTCAGGATGCAGTTATATTAGTTTCTAACTACAGGTGCTGGTCCTTATGATTAAGTAGGGCTTTTTTAGTACGGTGTCAATGCATTTAGTGCTATCCATAGTAATGACTACGTATGGGAGAGGTTCAGAATTTACTTTATGCAACTTGGGGAGGTGGAACATGAGAGAACTATTGAGCAGGAAACTGTATTGCTACTGTTGGATACCTTGAGCCTCAGCATCTTTGGCACCAACCTTGAGAATGGCAGTCTGTCTGAATGAGGGCAATAAAATTCACTTTCATGTGTGTTAAGGACAAAATGGTCTGTGTGGTCACCCATTACGAGCCAAAAAGCTGGAAATTGCTTTTCTGCATATTTAAGAGGCGAATAGTAGAGGGGTTGGATGTGTGGATGTTCCTGTCCCATTATAATGTTTCATTCCATCAATGACTAGGAAAAAAAAAAACAAAACTTTTTTTAATTAGCATGTCTGCAGTAGTTTGCAGCTAGAATTTATAATTTCTTTACTTTTGAGTGAGTTGTGAAAAACTGACAAAGGACTTAAAAGGGTACGTTTCTGTCTGGGTAAAATAACAAGGTTAGGTAAAATAACAGCATTCAGTTTACAGAGCAAGTGTATTTTTTCTTAATGCTTCATCAGCCATTTTTGTCATTCTACTTTTTTGGACAATGACTTTTTGGACAATATGTCTTTAACAGCGGTTTTGGTGAGAGTGGTAAGGTAGTGCTAATGCAATAAATCTCTGAAGGTGTTTGACTTGCTAACAATGTTGTTTATTAAGCTAGAATGATACAAAACCTAGTACATTAAATGTATTAAAACCTAGTTCACATTATACTTCACTTTGAGAGCCAGCCAACGAATAATAATCCTGGTTCAGTAAGGTACCATGTGATCAGTTGACCTGATATGGCTATTAATTTTTTTTATGTATTGCTTCAGGAAAACCATTATTAATGGTTTAATAATAATTATTATTAATAAATAATAAAAATCATTATTAATAGAAGTAACATAAATTTAAAGAAACAATGTAGTGTGACATAAATACAAAAAAAATCTGGGCTATTTGGCAAGCTGAGCAAGAGCGTGCTTTAATGTTGCAAAATGTAAAGACTCAGATCTTAAAACAAAAAGGTGCAGAATTTGGTTTGGAACTGAGGCTTGCACATGGTCTAGATGTCTAAGCTCCAAATGTAGTCAGTGGGGCCAATTGATCTGTGACCTTCAACCCCAGCTTACTGGCTGGTCACTTCAATAGTTCCATGAGGTTTCATGGCTTCAAACCAACTAACCTTGGTGACTGCAGTGGGAGCTTCAGTTGTGGTCATCTAAATGTAAGTGGCTTTTATCTGTTAATTGAATCTTACTCCAAAAAAAACTTGGTAGTTACAGCCAGTGGTCAGGAGGACAATGAACTCCCTGTGTCGTTTGTCTGAAAGGGCTGACACAAGCCGTTGGTACAGGAACAATAGGGTATTTCTGCTGGAGTACTTCTGGGATATTATACTGGATTGGACAGCGAGTTAATGGGAGGGTTAGTGAAGAACAATAAGAAAGATTAAAAGATTTAATTTCTTTTTCTTTGCAGGAAAAGCTTTGCTTAGTACACTCATAGAGGAATAGAATTTGATATTAGGCTCTCCACACTAGTGGACAGTGGTATCATAATTGCTTTAAAGAGTAGTAATGGAAATTACTAACCTAACTAATGAATCTAAATTTCAGTGAGGGTAGTTAGCTGTTGAGATAACTTACTTACATCTTATCCTCTAAATCTGAAAATGCTTACCAAATTCAAATGCAACTATTACATTTGAAGCAGAAATTAATAGAGAATTCCCCTTTGTTTTGTAAAACCAGAGAAGGTCAGTCCCTGTCACCCAATCTGAACAGGTAGGCTGGCAGATAGTAGGCTCTGTTGCATGAACCTGGTATCGTGCTTTGAATTATATTACATGGCTTCAAGATGTTCGTGGTTCTTTTTTTAAAATTACTTTTCAAAAGAAAACTCCTGCAGGAAAAGCCTTTAGGTAAAATACATATTAAACTCAAGGTAACACTAAGGTTCTCCTTGATTTTGTTGGATCTTTGGCTGTGGGATGTGTATGGAAATGGTCTATCAGCTTTAGACTCTTGGATGTTCTGTTTTTCTTTTTATACATATAACAAAATGTTTACTCAGAAAAATTTGAAGTAGGATACACAAAATATAAAATGATACTGTGAATTTAGAGTAGAATTTAATCTGTATGTAATTTTGAAAGTGATCTCTATATGATAGGCAAATATATGAACATTGTCATACAATGTTTTCAAGTATCGTTATGAATCTTTGGACATTACAGTTTAAGTATTTTGTGTAGCAACTTTATAGCCATGAATGAAAACTTTTTCTTTTAATCAGGATGAAAATAATACAGAGAATGCTGTCAGTTCTTCAGATGCTGAGAAACAGGATTCTCCTCCACCAAAGCCTCCACGGACCCGCAGGTAGTTAACTATTTTAATATACTACTTTAAGCTGATAGATTGATGTGCTTCATAAATAAAAAGTAGAATAAAACTACTGATACTATAAAGACTTTTAAAATGCATTTTTTTTTCTATTTATAAAAAGAAATATACGTAATGGAAATAGAAGTCTTGTAATTGGCTCTGTAAATATAAACTTAAATATCTTTGCAAAATATGTGTTTGAATATACCAATCCTGTAATGACTACATGTGAGTAGGCAAGCGTGCCCCTTTAGTAGTCAAATATGTTAGATCTACTTGTGCTCTAATTCCACTAGGTGATAGTAGCGAAACATGCTTCAAAATAAGCTCAAATAATGACTGAACTCTCATTTTTGAAGGCAAAAACATAATGAAAAATATCCACTTATTCAAGAAAATGTTACCTCACAGACAAATACTGCTGTTGACTAGAGTAAGCCAACAAAATGCTTTTCTTATTGAGAGGAAAAATTGGTCTCATCAATCCTTTGATTCAAGAAAGGAAAAAGAAAATCCTCTCTAGCTCTTAAAATACATAGACTTGACTTTAAGGAAGCCAAAAGTAAATCTGAACTAACAAATTCATCTGCCTAAAATGGGTACCCAACCTGAGTGTTAGCTGAAGAAGCAACTCTCCTGAAGTAAGTGCCTAAGTTCCCTAGCTAGTTTCTGGAAGGCTTATAGGACCTTTGGCAGGTGACCTTGCCTGTGCTACATTGGCTGTAGTTAAATAGACATTTAAGGTAAGCATAGAATCATAGAATGGTTTGGGTTGGAAGGGACCTTAAAGATCATCTAGTTCCAACCCCCCAGCCATGAGCAGGGACACCTTCCACTAGACCAGGTTGCTCAAAGCCTCATCCAACCTGGCCTTAAACACTTCCAGGGAGGGGGCATCCACAACCTCCTTGGGCAACCTGTTCCAGTGTCTGACCACCCTCACAGGAAAGAATTTCTTCCTAATATCTAATCTAAACCTCCCCTCTTTCAGCTTAAACCCATTTCCCCTTGTTTTGTCATTAACTGCCCTTATGAAAAGTCCCTCCCCAGCTTTCTTGTAGGCCCCTTCAGGTATTGGAAGGCCGCTATAAGATCTCCTTGGAGCCTTCTCTTTTCCAGGCTGAACAGCCCCAGCTCTCTCAGCCTGTCCTCATAGTAGAGGTGCTCCAGCCCTTGGGTTTCCTGAAGTTGCAGGATGACATAAGAAACCTCCAGACAGTTAATATTCTTGTATAACTTATTCATATAAGGAAATTAGTTTTACTGCTTTAAAATATAATCAGACTGGAGTAGTGCAAGGTCAGGTCAGTAGTGGGAATTCCTATTAATTTGGAATGGTTAAAGGTAGAAGATGAGACTTAACCCCTTCCTTTCCAGTACTGCATTTGGCAGGGTACAAGTGATGTGATAAAGAGCCCATTTTTGAGGGGCTAGTAGGATGAGAGCAGTGATTGTACAAGAAAATGAATATTAAATCCTAAAATATTTCTAGGGTTGATAAAGGATGAAGTTTAAATAAGTGTGTGTGTATAGATATATAGATATATATCTATATATATACAAAATTTAATTGGACATAGAAAGCCGTCTGAAAACTGGTGACTCAGAATGGGTAGCCGTGTGTGTGTGTATATTCAATATCACAACATCATTTTCTTGTCACAGGAATAAATATAGGTTAAAACTGGGTATGAAAATATTCCACTTTGTTACCAACTAGTAATATGGAGCAGATCTGGAATGTTTCATGTGGTTCTAATGCCTGTTCTAATGAGGATACCAGAGAACTACCATAAACGGACCTCTTGCTCTATTTCTTTAGTGGCCCTAGGGATGGTATTTGCACTAAGATAACTTTGAAAATAACATGTGACAACAACCATCAATGATACCGTAGGATAAGAATATGAGTGGCTGTTGTAGTTTAACTTTGCATTAGTTATGTAAAGCATAAGTTAAAGGAGAATACAACATGGAATGGGAAAGGTGGAAATGAGTTGGGGCTTTTCACAAACAAATGGCACAGTTTGTGCTATTTAGTTAGTTTCATTTTTACCTTATTTAGATTGATGGTAATGTGCTTGTATTCAATTACGTAGATTGAGATGGTGACAGGAGAGTCTGTTAACCTCTATTCATGATGAGTTCCAAACTCTTCTTGAAACTTAGTCACTGAACTTATATATGGTTTCTGTCCAATAGGTCATTTCCTTATTAGTGTTCCCTAAAATAACCTTAGGTGTACCTAGGTTTTTATCATTTTATATATTCATATAATAATCATATATGTATAATTAATCTTTCAGCACACATCTGTTCTGTCTTATTTGCATTGCATTCTTCTTTACTTGATGCGTTATTAAGTGACAGTCTTTTAATATCTCTTATAAAAGCTGATGTTTTTGAGCCTGCTTCCATAAACTCATACTTTCCTATATGCCAGCACTGGCAGGAAGATTGGTTCCGTAGAGGTGAATACATGGAAGCTTTTAGCAAAGCTGTTGTCTTTTTCAAATGGAGATTACTTTTGAAAAACAATTAATTACACCCCTCATGGATGACAATTCTGAGGAAGGTCTTTATTTACTATTAGTCACATCTGCTCAGAATAGCCACTAATGAGCATGTTTTTTCTTGATGTGGGAGGTGATTTTCCAAATCCGCAGCCTGATTCAGTCAGGACTTGAAGCCAGGTTTTGCATACTGGGGATGTTCTGACATAGGTTGACATCCTTTTTCTGGGGAGGATGGGAGAGCAGAATCTGTAAAAGATTGCAGTTTAATCCCCATATAGAGAGAAAACTATTAAACATTATAAATCTCCTTATTGCCTCTGTAGCTTTTTTCCCCAAACTAATTCTCTTACCACTTTTTTTCATGTCCCTTCTATTATTTTTCTCTACATTGCTATGACTAAAAATATCTTGGTACAACTATTTTAAGTATTTGTCTACATCTTTTCTGTAGTGAATGTTTTCAAGTGGTGTCTAAGAGTCATTGCCTTTACAGATAAATTCACATTCAGTAGGTACTCTGAAATAATCTAGTTTAACCCACATTTTTAGTTTGATTTAGAATTTTTTGTGGGAACTTGCTTAAAGTATTTTGTTCAGTAACACTTCTAGGTTGCCAGCCAAATGTGTACTTGAGGTATACATGCACTGTCCCTGAAGAAGGTACAAGCAAGTTGCTTAAGTTAATATTTGTTTTAAAGGAATAAGGCTTTTAAATTCTTTAATATGTAATTAGTAAAATGTGTAATTAGTAAAAAACCTTGCATTTATTTTATTTTTCTAAGGGAAGGTTTAACAGTTGCTTTTTTTCTAAAGTAAAAAGGACTATGTGACTAATACTGAACAGGACTGTGTGCCAGCTTGGTTTCAGGTGAACTTGCCTGAGATGATCCTGACTGAGCAGGACAAAAACTGGTTTACATCTCTTGACCTCAGGATGCTTCTTCCATATTGCTGTCAGACCAAGTCACGTTTGCTTAGATGGTAATGATTATGATTCCTGTTAATTGTTTTCTGACAGCCTTGAAGCTGCTTGCTGGATAAGCTAGTTCAAGGGGAAATGGTTGGTGACACCACATAGACACACACAAGTCTATGGGGCCGGATGGGATCCACCCAAGGGTACCGAGGGAGCTGATGGAAGTGCTCACCAAGCCACTTTCCACCATCATTTATCAGCAGTCCTGGCCAACCAGGATCTGGGGATCTACAGGCATGTCAGTCTGACCTAGGAAAGGTTATGGAGCAGATCATCTTGAGTGCCATCAAGTGACACATGCAGGACAACCAGGTTATTGGGCCCAGTCACCATGGGTTTATGAAAGGCAGGTCCTGCTTGACTAACTTGATCTCCTTCTATGACAAGGTGACCCACTTACTGAGCGAGTGTAAAGCTGTGGATGTTGCCTGCCTAGACTTTAGTAAAGCCTTTGACACCATTTCCCACAGCATTCTCCTGAGGAACTGGCTGCTCATAGCTAGGATGAGTGTCCTCTTTGCTGGGTAAAAAAACTGACTGGATGGCCAGGCCCAAGGAGTCATGGTGAATGGAGTTAAATGCAGTTGGTAGCCAGTCACAAGTGGTGTTCCCCAGGGGCCAGCTCTGTTCAATGTCTTTATTAATGATCTGGACAAGGGAATTGAGTGCACCCTCAGTAAATTTGCAGATGACACCAGGATGGGTGGGAGTGTTGATCTGCTTGAAGGTAGGAAGGCTCTGCAGAGGGATCTGGACAGGCTGGATCAGTGGGCCAGGGCCAATTGTATGAGGTTCAACAAAGCTCAGTGCTGGGTCCTGCACTTCAGTCACAACAA